TGAAGAGATCTCTAGTCTTTCTCATTCTGTTTTCCTCTATTTCTTTTCATTGTTCACTTAGGAAGGCTTTCCTATCTCTCCTTACTATTATTTGGAACTCTGCATTCAGATGGATATATCTTTCCTTTTCTCCTTTGCCTTCTCTTCTCTTCTCAACTATTTGTAAGGCCTCCTCAGACAACCACTTTGCCTTTTTGCATTTATTTTTCTTGGGGATGGTCTTGATCACTGCCTCCTGTACAATGTCACAAACCTCCATCCATAGTTCTTCAGGCACTCTATCAAATCTAATCCCTTGAAACTATTTGTCACTTTCACTGTATAATTATAAGGGATTTGATTTAGGTCATACCTGAATGGTCTAGTGGTTTTCCCTTCTTTCCTCAATTTCAGTCTGAATTTGTCAATAAGGAGTTCATGATCTGAGCCACAGTCAGCTCCTGATCTTATTTTTGCTGACTGTATAGAGCTTCTCCATCTTTAGCTGCAAAGAATATAATCAATCTGATTTCAGTATTGACTATCTGGTGATGTCCATGTGTAGAGTCGACTCTTGTATTGTTGGAAGAGGGTGCTGTCTATGACCAGTGCATTCTCTCAACAAAACTCTATTAGACTGTGCCCTGCTTCATTTTGTACTCTAAGGTCAAACTTGCCTGTTATTCCATGTTCTCTTGACTTCCTATTTTTGCATTCTTCTGTCCCCTGTGATGAAAAGGACATCTTTTTTTGGTGTTAGTTCTAGAAGATCTTGTAGATCTTCATAGAACTGTTCAACTTCAGCTTCTTTGACATTAGTGGTTGGGGCATAGAGTTGGATTACTGTGATACTGAATGGTTTTGCCTTGGAAACGAACAGAGATCATCCTGTCATTTTTGAGGTGGCACCCAAGTACTGCATTTCAGACTCTTTTATTGACTATGAGGGCTACTCCATTTCTTCTAAGGGATTCTAGGCCACAGAAGTAGATATGATGGCCATCTAAATTAAATTCGCCCATTCCAGTCCATTTTAGTTAACTGATTCCTAAAATGTCGATGTTCACTCTTGCCATCTCCTGTTTGACCACTTCCAGTTGACCTTGATTCATGGACTTACCATTTCAGGTTCCTATGCAATATTGTTCTTTATAGCATCGGAGTTCACTTCCATCACCAGTCACATCCACAACTGGGCATTGTTTTTGCTTTGGCTCTGTCTCTTCATTCTTTCTGGAGTTATTTTTCCACTCTTCTCCAGTAGCATATTGAGCACTTACTGACCTGGGGAGTTCATCTTTCAGTGTCATATCTTTTTGCCTTTTCATACTGTTTATGGTATTCTCAAGGCAAGAATACTGAAGTGGTTTGCCATGCCCTTCTCCAGTGGACCACGTTTTGTTAGAACTCTTTTTTATGACCCATCCATCTTGGGTGGCCCTATATGACATGGCTCATAGTTTCATTGAATCAGAAGTGACTTAGTATGCACACATATACACAGTGTGGTGGGGAGGGTGGTAGAGGGGGAGGCCTAAAGGCAAAGATTTTTTATGTTTAAATTTCTCTTGTCTTGCTATAAACTATGAATTTTATTTTACAATAGTGAGACCAAGTAAACTGAAACATCAGAGTTTGGAGCAGAGAAAGCTTTATTGCAGTGCCAAACAAGGAGAATGGGTCGCTCATGCTCAAATCCCCTGAACTTACTGATGATTGCCAGTCGCTCAGTCGTGTCTGACTCTTTACAACCCCATGGACTGTAGTCCACCAGGCTCCTCTATCCACAGGATTCTCCAGGCGAGAATACTAGAGTGAGTTGCCAGGCCCTCCTCCAGGGAATCTTCCCAGCCAAGAATTGAACCCAGGTCTCCCGTACTGCAGGCGAATTCTTTACTGTCTGAGCCACCAGGGAAGCTGAATGAAGTCTATTTTCTACAAAAAAGAAAGGAAGACACAGAAGAGATTTGCAATGAGGCGGGCCCCACAGAGTTTGTTTCAATGTGTCCCAGCCAGCATCTCTTCTGAGGGGGCAAATAACTCCTTTTTCGAGTAGAGCTGATCCAGCAGATCCAACAATATTGCTCGTTCCTAGCTTCTGCCAAATTGAAGGGAGAAGAAAGGCAACTTGTCCTTTGGACGCTGAAGAACACTTGTTTGGGTTCTATAGTCTGGAGGAGCTAGCTGCACTCAACTTTCTTTATGGTCCAGCTCTCATATCCATGGGCTTCCCTGGTAACTCAGCTGGTAAAGACTCCACCTGCAATGCAGGAGACACAGTTCGATCCCTGGGTCAGGACGATTGCCTGGAGAAGGGATATACTACACACTGCAGTATTCTTTGCCTTCGCTGATGGATCATATGATAAAGAATCAGCCTGCAATGCAGGAGACCTGGGTTTGATCCCTGAGTTGGAAAGATCCCCTGGAGAAGGGCATGGCAACCCACTCCAGTATTCTTGCCTGAAGAATCCCCATGGTCAGAGGAGCCTGGCGAGCTATATATAGTCTATGGGGTCACAAAGAGTCAGACACGATGGGTAACTAAGCATAGTACATTCATACATGACTACTGGAAAAAGCATAGCTTTGACTATACGGACTTTTGTCAGCAAAGTGAGGTCTCTGCTTTTTAAGATGCTGTCTAGGTTTGTCTTTCAAGGAACAAACATTTTTTAATTTCATGACTGCAGTCACTGTCCTCAGTGAATTTGGAGCCCAAGAAAATAAAATCTGCCACTGTTTCCATTTTTTTCCCCATCTATTTATCATGAAGTGATAGGATCGGATGCCATGATCTTAGTTTTTTGAATGTTGAGTTTCAAGCCAGCTTTTTCACTCTGCTCTTTCACCTTCATCAAGATGTTCTTTAGTTCCTCTTCACTTTCCGCCATTAGGTCAATATCATCTGCATATCTGAGGTTGTTGATACTTTCCTGGCAATCTTGATTCCAGCTTGTGATTCATCCACCCTGGTATTTTACATGATGTACTCTGCATGTAAGTTAAATAAGCAGGGTGACAATATACCAAAAATGACATTATTTCATTCTAAGAAAGGCTTTCTTTCTTTTTTTTTTCAGGCAGCTAGCTTTTAAAAAAATTATTTATATATTTATGGCTACACTGGGTCTTTGTTATCATACATGGACTTTCTCTAGTTAGTTGCAGAAAGCACAGGTGTGAGGGGGAGTTCATCTCTAGTGGCAGTGTGTGGGCTTCTCATTGCAGTGGCTTCTCTTGTTGGGGAACATGGGCTCTAGGGCACATGAACTTCAGTAGTTGCTGCACATGGGCTAGTAGTAGAGGCACAGTGGCTTAATTGTCCTGCGGCATGTGGGATCTTCCTGGACCAGGAATCAGACTTGTGTCCCCTGCATTGCAAAACAGATTCATGACCACTGGACCGCCAGGGAAGCAAAAAAAAAAAAACCAGCTTTCTTAAGACAAAGACATTCACACTATCATTGAGCTTAGGAATGAATAGAACTGGAAGCTCCCTGGTGGTCCAGTGGTTAAGACTCAGCACTTTCACTGCTGAGTGCCCAGGGTTCAATCCTAGGTTCGGGGGAACTAAGAACCTGCAAGGTGTGTGGTGCAGCAAAAAAATACATTAAAAAAAAAGAAAGAAAAGAAAATGGGTAGGGGCTAATGCGATGCTCATGGAGTGCTATGCAGGGCGTGGCCACGTCTTCTAGGCTGGAAATGGAGATGTGAGTCACCCAGCCCTGAAAATCACAGCTAGCTCTGAGGGCCAGTCATGTCAGGAAAAAATGAATCTGTTAGGCAAACAAGTTAAAACAGGGGTCAATTTTGGGACCATGTTATCTGCAATGAAGTACATAAATCTCTGAAATGATTCCTGAAACTTCATTCTACATGAACAGGACATTCCCTAAATAGGAGAACCATGTCCCGTGACTCATAGGAATGTTCGGGATGACAAGCCAGCAGTTGTGGCTGCCTGCCAATGAGATCATGTCACCTGCTCTAAATATTCCAGTGGCTCCCATCCAACTCCATCATGCTCTGAATTAAAGCCCGATGGTCCCTTATGCTACCCCGAATCTCTTCTCTAGGTCCTCCCCTCCTCCTCATTCTCCCTCATTCTTCTCCAGCCACCCCAAGGCTCCTAGAGGTTCCTGAGACCATCTGACATGCACTTCCTAAGAGTTCTAGTGAGCTCTGTCATACACTTGCTGTTGCTGGTCAGTTGCTAATTAGTGTCTGACTCTGTGACCCCTCTGACTTTAGCACACTAGACTCCATGGGGGGTCTCCAGGCAAGAATACTGGAGTGGGTTGCCATTTCCTTTTCCAGTCCTACACTTCTTTCCCCCCAAGATCTGCACAGCTCACCACTCACTTTGTCACCTACCTCAGCTCTGGCTAAAATTGCACTTTGCTTCCTGGTGGCTCAGCTGATAAAGAATCTGCCTGCAATGTGGGAGACCTGGGTTCAATCCTAGGGTTGGGAAGATCCCCTGGAGAAGGGAACCCACTCCAGTATTCGGGCCTGGAGAGTTCCATGGACTGTATAGTCCATGCCGTCACAAAGAGTCAGACATGACTGAAGGACTTTCGCTTTCACTTTTTCTCTATTTAGAATAGCAACCTTGGGACTTCCCTGCTGGTCTAGTGGCTAAGACTCTGTGCTGTCAATGCAGGGGGCACTGGTTCAATCCCTGGTCAGGGAACTAGAGTTCATATGCTGCAACTAAGAGTCGCATGCCACAATTAAACATTCCACAAGCCACAATGAAGATTGAAGATCCCACCTGTTGCTAACTAAGAGTCAAGGCAGCCAAATAAATAAATATTAAAGCAAATAAACAAAATAAGCAGCCTTTACCTCTAGTTCATAATGCATTCAAAGCCACTAAATGGGAACTGTCTATACCAAAACCCTGAGAAACACTAGCCATCAGATGCAATGATTTTGAGAACAGCTGCCAAATCCTTAGCTTTTGCTTCTCAAGTAAATGTTGAAATGCCTTTTCTTTCTAAAAAATTATTTTTAAGATATTGACTTTGCCACTCGTAAGATAGCCAAGATGCTGAAGCCACAGAAAGTGATTGAGCAGAATGGGGATTCTTTTACCATCCACACGAACAACACCTTCAGGAACTATGTTGTGAAATTTAAAGTCGGAGAAGAATTTGATGAGGATAACCAAGGCATGGATAACAGAAAATGCAAGGTAAAAATTATTTATTTACTTTTGGCTGTGCTGAGTCTTTGCTGCCTTGTGGGCTGTTTTCTCTAGTTGTAGCGATCGTGGCTACTCTCTAGCTTTGGTGCAAAGCCTTTTCATTGCGGTGGATTCTCTTGTTGCAGAGCACAGGTTCTAAGGCACATGGGCTCAGTAGTTGTGGCTCTCAGTCTCTAGAGCACAGGCTCAATAGTTTTGGTTCATGAGCTTAGTTGCCCTAAGGCATATGGGATCTTCCCTGATCAGAGATCGAATCTGTGTCTCCTGCATTGGCAGGTGGAGTCTTTACCACTGAGCCAACAGGGAAGCCCGCAAGGCAAAAATTAAAGTCATGACATAGACTTTTAGTTTTGCAAGGTCTTTGACACCTTCTCTAGTCATATCTGAGGATGCTGCCAGAGCAAATCAGTATTTTCTCCCATCCCCCATGCAGAGCTTGGTCACCTGGGACAATGACAGACTCACCTGTGTGCAGAAGGGGGAAAAGAAGAACAGAGGCTGGACCCATTGGATTGAAGGGGACCAACTCCACCTGGTACTGGCCCTATTTTGTTCCTCTATTTTTTTAATTGAAATAGTTGACTTACAATGTGTGAATCTCTGCTGTACAATACTGTGGCTCAGTTATACATACATTCATGCGTGCATGTGCACTAAGTTGCTTTAGTCGTGTCCGACTCTGTGCGAACCTAGAGACTGTAGTTCACCAGGCTCCTCTGTCCACAGGATTCTCTAGGCAAGAATACTGGAGTGGCTTGCCATGCCCTCCTTCAGACAGACAGGCAGACAGACAGACAGCTATATATCTATATAAATATATAGAGAGAGATATATATTAGTATGTGTATGTATACACACGTCCTTTTTATGTTTTTTTTCCATTATGGTTTATCCCAAGACATTGAATGTAGTTCCCTGTACTATACGGTAGGACATTGTTGTCCATACACTCTATACATAATATTTTGCATCTATTAACACCAAACTACCAGTCCATTCCTCCTCCATCCCCACGCCCACCCCGTTGGCAATCACAAGTATGTTTTCTGTCTGTGAGTCTGTTTGTGCTTCATTGATAAGTTCATTTGTGTCATATTTTAGATTCCATATATAAATGACATCAATTGACATTTGTCTTTCTCTTTCTGACTTACTTCATTCAGTAGGATAATCTCTAGTTGCATCCGTGTTGCTGCAAATGGCATTATTTTGTTCTTTATTATGGCTGAGTAGTATTCCATTGTGTATATATACTACATCTTCTTTATCTGTACATCTCTCAATGGACATATAGATTGTTTCCATGTCTTGACTATTGTGAATAGTGCTGCTATGAACATAAGGGTGCATGTGTCTCTTTGAATTATAGTATTGTCTGGATATATTCCCAACAGTGGGATTGCTGGATCATATGGTAATTTATTTCTGGTTTTCTAAGGAACCTCCATACTGTTTTCCATAGTGGCTGCACAAATTCACATTCCTACCAACAGTGTAGTAGGGTTCCTTTTTCTTCACACCCTCTCCAGCACTTGTTATTTGTAGACTTTATATTGATGGTCATTTTTACTTTTGTGAGGTGGTACTTCATGTAGTTTTGATTTGCATTTCTCTAATAATTAGCAATGTTGAGCATGTTTTCATGTGCCTATTGGTCATTTGTATGTCTTTGTTGAAGAAATGTCTATTTAGGTGTTCTGCCCATTTTCATGTTGGGTTGTTTGTTTTGTTGTTGTTAAATGTTCTTATTTTTTAAATGAGGTTAGGAAACCATAAGCAGCAATCCTACCATCCCAACCCAACTGTTTTCAATTTGATGTCTTACCTTCCAGTCTGTGAGAGTATTCTGACTTTTCATTTAATAGAAAAACATATTCTAACTTTCTAACAATTTTCCTGTTGTATTCATTTTGTGTTAGTTTAATGCATATAATAAATTAGCCAACCAGCTGTGCACTATTCCGTCAGACTCATGAACTCTCATTTTAGTAAAATGTTTTCTTAATTGCAATGTCCAGAAATATTGTTTCAGAGTGTTTTCTGCTGACTCTTAAATTCACATAAATAGAGCTTTTGCATCCATTCATTTATCTCCTTAGGAAGAATTTACAGAGGGGATCAGTGTTGTCCCAGACATCACTGCTTCTTGCTACTTTGTTGCCTTATTCACTTCCAAAAGGGGTATATCAATTTCTTAAGCCACCAGCACTCCAAGACTATACAAGTTATAGGTCAACCTAATCAATAATTTATAAATATAATCTATAAAGTATAAAATTATGCATAAAGGCTTAATTATGGCTTTTAAAAAGAGAATTCCTTCTTGCCATATATGTGTATTACAATGGCTTACATTTTCGAATGATGACTTTATGTGCAGTTACTTAGTTAAATCCTTTGAGGGCATTTTCTGGCTTAGTCTTCAAACCAATCCTGTGACAGGGACACTATTTTTTTCCCATTTACAAATGACGACATTGAGGTTTAGAAATTCCCCAAGATGCAGAGTAAAGATTCAAATCTAGGTCTGACGAGAATGTGTGCTTTCAACTCTATGCCTTTTTGGTCCCAATGTACACGTGAAACCTAAGTCAGATCCATGAAGACAAAATTAGAGCGCTCAAAGTGTGGGTGGTCTTTGAGGTGGTGGTCTTTGATTACGAAGGCATTGAAGATACTTCGATTCTTAGATGGACAAACCTCACACTCTTCTGGCAATAAAAACAAAGGTAAGAAACTTACCATCACAAAAATGTAGTGTGGAACTACAAAGGAAACACAAATGTGTTTAAGAATGAAGATTACGTGGCTGTAAGAAGTAATGCTCAAAGTGCTGCATCCTTCTTTGCATGTCCAATAACTCTGTCCAAGCAGAGGGCAGAAGGACCCTTGGTCTAAGGACATTCTCGGGATGATTCTTATTGTTGCTGTTGTTCGATTGCTCAGTCATGTCCGACTCTTTGCAACCCATGGTCTGCAGCACACCAGGCTCCCCTGTCCTTCACCATCTCCCGGAATTTGCTCAAACTCATGTCCATTGAGATGGTGATGCCATCCAGCCATCCCATCCTGTGTTGTCCCCTTCTCCTCCTGCCTTCAATCTTTCCCAGCATCCGGGGCTTTTTCAGTGAGTTGGCTCTTCTCATTGGGTGGCCAAAGTATTGGAGCTTTAGCTTCAGCATCAGTCATTCCAATGAATATTCACAATTGATTTCCCTTAGGATTGACTAGTTTGATCTTCTTGTTGTCCAAGGGACTCTCAAGAGTCTTCTCCAACACCACAGTTCAAAAGCATCAATTCTTCAGCGCTCAGCCTTCTTTATGGTCCGACTCTGACATCTGTACATGACTATTGGAAAAACCATAGCTTTGACTAGATGGACATTTATCACCAAAGTAACATCTCTGCTTTTTAATATGCTGTCTAGGTTGGTCATAGCTTTTCCTCCAAGGAGCAAGCATCTTTTAATTTCATGACTGTAGTCACCATCTGCAGTGATTTTGGAGTCCAAGAAAATACAGTCTATCACTCTTTCCATTGTTTCCGCATCTATATGCCATGAAGTGATGAGACCAGATGCCATGATCTTAGTTTTTTGACTGTTGAGTTTTAAGCTGGATTTTTCAACTCTCATCTTTCACCTTCATCAAGAGGCTTATGATTTTTATAAGCTGTGATATAATGAAAACCAATGAATATTTGGCCTTTGTACCTGGTTCTTAAAACTCCTGGAATCTCTAGAGTAACAAGAGTATCTTCTGTATGCTAATGAGATGAATGTTGGCTGGGGACCCTAGAGAGCTTCAGGATGCGGGCTGGTCTGAAGAAAGATCAAGGGAGGATTAGAAGGTTGGAACATTCAACCCAGCCTCTGAACTCAGGTGAGGGGAGAGGGATTAGAGATTGACCATTACCTTAAGCAATCATGCCTATGTAATGAAACCTCCATAAAAACCTTGACATCAGTGAGTTCATGGATCATGGAGAAAGCAAAGGATGTTTCAGGAAAACATCTACTTCTGCTTCATTAACTACACAAAAGACTTTGACTGTGTGGATCACAATAAACTGTGGAAAATTCTTAAAGAGACTGGAATTCCAGACCACCTTACCTGTCTCCTGAGAAACCTGTATGTGGGTCAAGAAGCAACAGTTAGAACCTTACACGGAATAACTGACTAGTTCAAAATTGGGAAAGGAGTATGAAAAGGTTGTATATTGTCACCCTGCTTATTTAACTTCTATGCAGAGTACATCATGTGAAATGCTGGGCTGGATGAATCACAAGCTGGCATCAAGATTGCTGACAGAAATTATCAACAACCTCAGATATGCAGATGACGCCACCCTTATGGCAGAAAATGAAGAGGAACTAAAGGGCCTCTTGATGAGGGTGAAAGAGGAGAGTGAAAAGCTTGCTTGAAACTCAATATTCAAAAAACTAAGATCATGACATTTGGTCCCATCACTTCATGGCAAATAGAAGGGGAAAAACTGGAAGCAATGACAAATTTTATTTTCTTGGGCTCCAAAATCACTGTGGCTGCTGACTGCAGGCATGAAATTAAAAGACGTTTGCTCCTTGGAAGTAAAGCTATGACAAACCTGTGTGTGTGTGTGCATGCTCAGTCACTCAGTTATGTCTGACTCCATGGACTGGACCCTGGGCTTCTCTGACCATGGAATTTTCCAGATAAGAATACAGGAGTGGGTTGCCATCTCCTACTCTAGGGGATCTTCTGGACCCAGTGTTCAAACCCACATCTGCTGCATCTCCTGCATTGGCAGGTGGATTCTTCACCACTGTGCCACCTGGGAAGCCCCATGACAAACCTGGACAGTGTACCAAAAAGCAGAGACATCTCTTTGCCAACAAAGGTGTGCATAGTCAAAGCTATGATTTTTCCAATAGTCATGTGTGGATGTGAGAGTTGGACCCACAAAGAAGACTGAACACTGAAGAACTGATGCTTTTGAATTGCTGTGCTAGAGAAGACTCTTGAGAGTCTGTTGGACTGAAAGAAGGTAAAACCAGTCAATCCTAAAGGAAATCAACCCTGAATATTCATTGGAAGTACTGTTGCTAAAGCTGAAGCTCCAATACTTTGGCCACCTGATGTGAAGAGCTGACTCATTGGAAAAGCCCCTGATGCTGGGAAAGATTGAATGCAAATGGAGAAGGGGACAACAGAGGATGAGATGGTTAGATAGCATCACTAACTCAATGAACATGAATTTGAGCAAAATTAGGGAGATAGTGGAGGATAGAGGAGCCAGATGTGCTATAGTCCATGGAGTCACAAAGAGTTGGACGTGACTTAGCAACTGAACAATAAAGGGGTTCAGAGAACTTTCTAGTTGGTGAGGACATAGAAGTGCTGGAAGGGAGCTCTGCTAGATTAGTCATGGAAGCTTTGTATGCCCCACTCCCACCCCCACCACAATACCTTCTCCTATGCCTCTCTTCCATTTGGCTTTTCCTGAGTTGCATTCTTTATAATAAACCTGTAAGTATAAGCAAAAAGTGTTTCTGTGAGCCATTCTAGCAAAGTATTGAACCTGAGAAGGAAGTTGTGGGAATCCCCGATATGGGATGATCAGTCAGATGTATGGGTGACTTGTGACTGATGTCTGAAGTAGGGGCAATCTTATGAGACTAAGCCCTTGACCTGTGAGGTCTACACTAGCTCTGATCCTTAGTGTCCAAACTAAATTGTTGGCTGTCCAATTTGTTATAAGAGGGTTGGAGATGTGGGATTGGAAAAGACACCATGTACCTGGTGTCAGAAATATGACTAATAATAATAACAGCTGCTGCTGCTGTTCAGTTGCTCAGTCATGTCTGACTCTTTGCTACTCTTTGGACTGAAGCTCACCAGGCTCCTCTGCCCGTGGGATTCTCCAGGCAAGAATACTGGAGTGAGTTTCTATTTTCTTCTCCAGGGGATCTTCCTGACCCAGGGATCGAACCTGAGTGTTCTGTGTCTCCAGCATTAGAGGTGGATTCTTTATCTGCTGAGCCATCAGGAAAACCCCAATAATAATAGAGTATATGCCAACTCATCTCTGTTCTCCCTTCCTCCCTGTCCCTAGGAACTGTTCTGTGAAGGACAAGTGTGTAAGCAGACATTCCAGACAGCTTGATCTGTATCCAACAGCAGAGTCCACATGTAGGGACAGCTTGATGAATTATATTCCAGAATGAACAGGACAGGAATGATCTGTCAGGGTTTGGTGGATGGGACCTTGTGATCAAAGAGACATCCACACAGCCTATACCAGAAGCCATTTGGATTGTGAGAAAAATTCTCAGCTTCAATAAACCTGTCCAATGGTTTTGACTTTTTCCTTCTAACTTTAACATATCTCTTTATTTTCAGAAATATTTGGAAGACTTCTAGGCACACCATTGACACATCAGTGATGAACAAGTTGTAATTCCCACCTTCCAAGGAGTGGGCAAGTGGTGGTAGGGGCCTGGGGTATTTCTGGAAGTAATCTTTAAGCTGGGACCTGAAGAAAATGTAAGCAGGAAGTATCAGGAAGCACTCTAGTCAAAAGTTGGAGGAATGTTTGAAGAACTGAAAAGATTGCTTTAACTGTTGCTTAGGGTGTGTTGGGTGGGATAGGGTGGGGAGATATGGCAGGGGTAACTGACATGACAGTCAGTGGCTCTACCGTGAAGTATCTTGAATGCTAGGGTAAAGAGGTGAGATTTTTGTCCCTAAAGTAATAGGAAGATGGTGACCTGTATTAAGCAGATATGTACAACCAGGTTGTACATATCACAGAAAGTAACTCTGGGGACTTCTATGGTAGTCCCATGGTTAAAAACTCACTTTCCAGTGCAGAAGATGCAGGCTCAATCCCTGGTCAAGGAACTAAAATCCCATGTGTCCCAACTAAAGATAAGCCCATGCACTGCAACTGAAACCGGATGCAGCCAAAAATAAATAAATATATGCCTTAAAAATAAAGTAATTCTGACTGCTGAGGGAAGAAAGCATTGTAGGTGGGGGATGCAACTCAAGAGGCAGTTTAGAAAATCTGATAGAAATCAGAGTGTAAGCTGACGTTGTTCAGGATCACCCAGAGCCCAGGTCTGAAAAATAGAGAAATAGACTCTTGGGGCTTGGAGAGAAGTAACAAGGTATTTAGGAGGCAGAATCTATAATCCAAGGAGATGGATGTGATGGAGGGATGCTGGCTAGGGGAAGAATCAAGGAGGTGCTTTGTTTTGGATCAGGCAGTTATGGGAAGGTTGAGGCCCATCAAAAGAAAATAACATGACTTCTCTGGTGGCTCAGTGGTAAAGAATCCACCTGCCAATTGTAGACTTAAAAAAGATGTACAATTGAGAGTTGTGAGTTAAGTTTTATTTGAGGCAAAATGAGGACTGCAGCCCAGGAGGCAGCATCTCAGGTAGCTCTGAGAGACTGCTCCAAAGCGGCAGTGGGGGAAAGTCAATATATAAGGTTTTGGTGAAAGGGGAGTTCAATACCATGAAGCACTCAATTTATAAAAGGTTCTTTGTTAGTCATGAGGGTCTGATGTCACCAAGAAGGGATTTAGTGCTTCTCTGGATATGAGGAGATGCAAGGATTGAGATAATAAAGTCTGTTCCTAAAAACATCCAACTATCTAAAGACCTGTCCCACCAGATTCCCTGGAGCACAGAGTGCCTCACTCCACCGTGAACTCTCTTGGGGATTGTTGAAGGTCAATAGCTATAGCAGCATGGAGTTCAGTCTCCGTAGAGGCAGATGGCAAATGCCTTTGTTGTTCAGTCATTGGCAATGCTCTTGGTAAGTGCCAGTTTATAGTTGAGACAATGCAGAAGATCCCACATGCCACAAGCAACTAAACCCATGCACCACAACTGTTGAACCCATGCTCTAGAACCTGTGAGCTGCAACAACTGAAACCTGAGCACCCCAGAGCCCATGCTCCACAATGAGAGAGGCCACTGCAGTGACAAGCCCACACACAGCAACTAGAGAGTAGCTTCCCACTCTCTGCAACTAGAGGAAAAGCTCAAGCAGCAATGAAGACTCAGCATAACCAAAAATAACTAAATAAAACTTTGAAGAAAGGGGATGGTATGAGCAGAAGTGAAGTCAGAACTTCAGTTTCTGAAGTGCTTGTGCCCAGTGAAAGCCAGGCGGCCAGGAGACAATAAATAAAAGACTCCACAGACACGAACAAGTTGTTGATAGCTTATGGTGAATGGTGTTGGATTCGTGATCTCCAAAGAAGATTTAACTTTGGGCCGGGGACCAGGCCTGGTGACTCAAGAGCTTTTGTATAGCAGAGTTTTATTAAAGTTAAAAGGGACAGAGAAAGCTTCTGACACAGATATCAGAAGGGGGATGGAGAATGCCCCCCTCACTAGTGTTAGCCAGGGAGTTATATACTTTTTAATTAAGTATTACAATAAATAAAAAAAATGTCTCATTTGTGAAAATTTTACCAGACCCACTCCCACAATTTACATTTTAGGATAACAGGATTAGAATTTAAAGGTCCTACCAGACCTACTCCCATAATATACAATCTAAGATATCAGGATTAGTCAGAAGGTTTTCAGAAAGGAAAAGCTATTCTCAAGCATATACACTGTTGTTATATAATCCCTAGTATAGAGTTTAAACTGAGTTGTTTGTTGTGTAATCATCAGCTCTGGGCTTAAAGAAAAAAACGTTTTATGTGACTAAGACTAAGGAATGTAGAGGGGAAAAAAGTTTGTTCTTTCCTCCTCCTTGAGAACCCCAGACCCCTCTCTCCTCAGGGACCCCTGGACTTCTTATCAACCTGCCTAGGAATTGACTCTCTCATTGTGAAGCGTATAAACTATTCATATGGATGATACATATAAACTATGCAGTGTCTGGGACATTGTATTTAAAGAGAGAGAAACCTGAGGTACAAATCTCACAGTCCCGTGAGGGGCTAGAGAAGTAAGATGGTATCAGGGAAGCGAAGGAAGGAAATATTTCAGGGTTGAGGAGTGTTGAGCATTTGCTGAGATGCCCAAGGTATCCATAAGGTGAGACAGGATTTTTCCATGTGGGTGAGGATGGTTTAACAGTGCAACTGGTCCTGAAGATGCACACAAAGGGTTATGGAACCAGGAGAGGTGAAGGGGTACAGACAGTGAGAAGCCGAAGGAATGTGGTGGTAGGACTTCCCTGGTGGTCCGGTGGTTAAGAATCCACCTACTAATGCAGAAGACATGAGTTCGGTCTCTAGGCCAGGAAGATCCTACATACCCTAGGGCAACTAAGCCACAACAACTCTAGAGCCTGTGCTCTGCAACAAGAGAAGCCACTGCAATGAGAAGCTTGCATATTGCAACTAGAGAGTAGTTCCTACTTGCTGCATCTAGAGAAAGCCCGCTTGCAGCAATGAAGACCCAGCACAGTCATAAATAAATAAGTAATAAAAATGGTTTAAAAATAAAAAAGAAGGAAGGTGGTGGTAGTGTCAGGGAATCTTAGCGGGGAGCACCTTGATAAGATGGGTGGAACTGATGGACCATAGAGCCCCTTCCAGATAAGGCAAGTCAGGGAAGGGTTACAGTTAGGACTTGGCAGCCACTGCGTGCTAGGCTCTAAGCTGGGCTTTAGGGATTCCATGGACAACAGCAGAGGAAAGGTCTGGGCCTCTGAGGAGCTTATAGTCTGCTGGTGATGACAGAAATTTATAGGAAGTTAAAGTCTGAGTATCAGGTACAACACTTGTTTTAAGTGTAGATGAAAAATATGGCCTGCCATTTCAGTAAACCAAGGATATTCTAGCCATCAAGCCATCAGACACTACAGCTGCCCCCAACTGTACACCCTGAGGGGACTAATTAAAGAAAAAAAAATTTAACAGTAATCTTTTGATGTCCTGACTACCTGGTTTGCAAAAACTACTATACATCTTGGCTCCCACTTTACTTCTTCAGAGAAGTCTCTCAGAGCTGAGAGGTGGTGTCCCTGGCTAAGTCCTCGGTAAGGTGGCCAAATAAAACATAATTCTCAAATTTTAGGTTGTGCATTTCAGTTTACATGAATAACAGACACCAAGTTGTTAGTTTGACTTTAGAAGCAGCGAGCTTGCAGCCAAATGAAGTCAGAAGACAATTGTAGATTCAATTAGATATTGTAATCCCACCATATAGAAAGAACATGAGATTTTTTTTTTCAGGATGTTATTGTTCATTGTTCACATGCTAAGTTGTGTTGGACTCTTTGCCACCCATAGGTTACACACCAGGCTTTCCTGTCCTTCACTATCTCCTGCAGTTTGTTCAAACTCGTGTCTATTGAGTCAGTGAGGCAATCCAGCCATTTCATCCATTCTTGTCCCCTTCTCCTCCTGCCCTCAATCTTTCCGAGCATCAGGGTTTTTCCAATGAGTCAGTTCCTTCCATCAGGTGGTCAAAGTATTGGAGCTTCAGTTTCAACATCAGTTCTTCCAATGAATATTCAGGGTTGATTTCGTTTAGGATTGACTGGTTTAATCTCCTTGCTGTCCAAGGGACTCTCAAGAGTCTTCACCAGAGCTACAATTAAAAAACATCAATTCTTTGGCACTCAGCCTACTTTATGGTCCAACTCTCAAATCTGTACATGACTACTGGAAAAATTATAGTTTTGACTATACAGACCTTTGTTTCCAAAGTAATGTCTCAGCTTTTTAATACACTGTCTAGCTTTGTCATAGCTTTTCTTCCAAGTAGCAAACATCTTTTAATTTCATGACTGCAGTCGCTGTCCGCAGTGATTTTGGACCCCAAGATGTTGTAGACACGTGTTCCAGGAAACAAACTCACTCAGAAGGACAATGCAGATAGTGGAGTGCAGTTTATTACTCCTCTTAGCCAAGGACCCCGACCAGTTTTTGTGAAAACCTTATATACCCTAAGTGTACTTGCTCAAACCCACCTCCCCAAATTCCTTGAAACTAGTCTGACAAGGTAAAAGAGAGATACAATCAAAGTTAACCCATGATTCATGTGTCACAGGACTAGATAAACAGTGGATATTTATCAATAGGCCTGTGGTCATATCCAGATAAACATAATGGAATTTACCACTTTGTTCTGTTACAGAGATAATTAGCATATTCTTTTAGGCAACGGAGAATCCAAGTACAAG